ATACTTACTTCCTCTACTATTAGTTTATTTGTTTTACTCTTTTGATTTTTCTTTTTCTCCCGCAAGAAGAATTGCTTATTAAGATACGAATTTTATCATGCAGGTTGTAATCATACATTTCTGATTTAAGATATTGCGGTTGTAGCAGTGAGTGTTGAATTCCATTAAAGAAGTTCATTTGCTTCATGTTTTAGTATTTCAAATAGATGAAGGTGATGTAAATCTTATGTTCTAGAGTGGATTGGAAATTGCAGTCTTATATTATTTGCCATTTAACCACGTTTTTTGCTTTTACAATTTGCAGAATATTTCTTGCAAACAAGTACTATTCTTGCAGCATTAGTTGCAGCGTTTGCTTTTTTTCTTTTAATCGATCCGCGCATTGCGCGGATACGTATACTAGTTATTTAGAAAAAAGAAAGAGGAATAGGTAGGGGAGGCAGTATCACTAAGGATTTAACATCAATAAACAAATATCAAGCCAAACATCAACGCAGGTACCGGGTAATTCTGCCACCGAGGCTTAACTCATCCCTTTATGATATAAAATTCTCACAACATTTTGGAAACTTTAACCAGCAAACTATTCTAACAAGTACACACCACATGTAAAAATCCGGGTTCATTTTAGCGAGAAGGTCAAAAAACAAAATGAGTTCTGCCATTTGGAAAGGTTCATATACAGACATTAAAGGTAGGGGTGTGCATTCGAATCGGTTTATCGATAAATCGAATCGATTATTTGTTATCGGTTTATCGATTTCGATTTCGAAATTTTCCTTATCGAGTTATCGATTTCGATTTTTTCCTCTTCGGTTTATCGGTTTATCGATAAACCAATAAGAAATACTAAAAAAAAAATTAATTTTTTTTTTAAAATTTTTTTTTTAATTTTTTTTTTTTTTTTGCCTTTATTCTATAATACCCTTTCCTTTACCCTAAGTCCCTAACCCTATTATTTCATCTACCACATTTAAGGAATGATCATATTTAAAGCTCAAGGGAATGAAGTTCAAATTAATGGAAAATAGAATTAGCCGTGATGATGTATTTCTTTTTTTATAACGTTGGAGTGTTGGTGGCATACATTTGATCCCTTACTTTAGTTTCGTTGCATGTGCTTGTTGACACAATTTTTATGTTATAAACGGTGTTCGTCTTATTTTAGCTTCTTTTGGTCCATATTAGTTAGGCGTGTTTATAGTGATATACTTTCCGTGGAATCCCGCAAACTTTCTTATTGGTATAATCGATAACCGAATCGATAAGCCCCAAAAATGGATAAATCGAAATCGAAAAAATCAAAACCTTATTGAAATGATAACGATAAGCATATGTACAAATCGATAATCGATATGTAATTATCGATAAGGGTAAAAATCGAATGCACACCCCTATTTAAAGGTCACCAGCCCCTAAAAAGACAGAAATATCCTTGTCCTGCATTAATCATACTTGATCTGGTTCCAGTGCTGTCACTTAAATATACTTCCCCTTCTCTGCTATAGTGCGATTGTGTCCTCCATGTGTCTTCTCCAACCAATCCATTCTAAATTTGTATTTTAACAGCTAAAAAAGAAACTAATAAGCACCAAAGCGTTTCATATTCTGGCTTTTAAACATATATTTCCTTTTTAACTTAAGGAAATCAACTCCAGATTATCCAGTTCAGCATTCACCAAATCACGACTTAGTATTTCTCTCATCAGATATTGTTTAGCCATTGAACTTCGTCCAGAGAGCTAGTGACAGAGTAAAGGTGTGGTCAAGTTGGGGAACATAGACATAAACGACTAACATTTACCAACTTAGAGTTCAAGTATTAGCATGGCATTTCAAGCTTCAGCATTTCCCAAGAATACCAGTTACATCAAAGTCTACACTGAGGAAGGAGTCCTTCAACTGCATGTTTTGCCTCCTCCATAAGAAGACATCATTTAACTTTAACACTAACAACAAAGTGAGACACAAGACTGGACGGGCGAGCAGATCACAGCATTTTTGTTACAGCGGTGGTGTCCGGCCAGCTTGCATGCACCTCGATTATTACACCAGGTACCTGCTACCTCCTACCAACACAAGTACCTGGAAGAACTCACCTAGTTTTTTTTGTCTCTGCTAGTATTTGAACTTTGGTTTCCAAGATTTGCATTCATTTCATTGACCACTAAGCCAGACCCTTTGAGTGTAGCTTACAACATTTTCTAGAAAAGGAAAACGAAATTTCAAAAACAGTTCATCATCTCCAGGTAAGTTATCAAGTGATGGAAAGAAAAGCTGGAAGAAAATAATAGATAAGTTACCTGCCAATGTTTCAAGTCAAGCACTCATTAGGTTCAGCTCTTGTCAATTGAAACTGCTTTCTCAGAGCCACCATGTCAATGTGATTTTCTTACCTTAGCTGCAGCATCAAAAATTTCTCAACACCACATTTGCTGTGTTTGGTTAGGAAAAAATACAGTATGTTACACAGGCCTACAACTCTAAGAACACAAGAAGTCTAAAACCCGCACAAATTTTTTACATGAATTGAGATTCTAGCATGTCCTCGAGGTTCTTTTATCCCTTTCCTATCAGTGACATCCCCAAAAAAAAATTAACTTGATAAATACTAGAACAGTTTCCCTTAGACCCATTGAGGTGTTTGATAATTGCAGAGCTAGTTCTTCAAGTTTACAAAACTTCCCTTGATTGAAGTTTGCAGTTTTTAGTAGTGTTTGTTTCTCATGCAACAGTATCCAATCTAAGAGCAAGACACTACCAATTTTGCAAACTTTGCATTTCATGCAGTAACAATTTTCTGTTTACACAAGAATAAACCAAAATCACAGCAGAGAGAGTGAGTGAGAGTGCAGAACGATCACCCAAAACGGTTCTAATGGGCACATTCAAATGGCATGCAGTTATCAACCAAGGGAACTAAACCATTCCATATACTTACTAAACCAAACTGGGCGCCTCCATAATTTTTGAAACTTGAGAATGTATGAACAAAATAGTCAATAACCTTTGTATTTGAGACGACCACCATTTTACTTGTTAGCGCATTAAGACATCTCTTATCAGTTCAATGAAACTTGCCAAAGCAGATGTCTCAAGACGACAACTAGTTTAAAAAGGATAATTAAGTGAGTCTTATAATTAACCATCAGATGGATAAACAATTGATATACAAGATGCGAGATGAAGCTAAAGTTTACATGAACTAATGCTGATCAACTAGACATCGATTTAACCAAACCTTATTCAATTAAGAGTCCCTGAACAATGTGCAAGTCTGACATGCTATTACTTCACATGGAGAACAAGTGAGTCTTTACTTTCAAAATATCTATTATTTGTCTTGTTCATCGCACTCGCTTAAACTTAGAGAAAACAGAGGTTGTTTTAGAGGTATTTGTGTGCTCAAGCTAAAATCTGATTATACTAAACTAGTTGAACATAACGTATTAGACAAGTTCATCCGAGATTTATCTTCTTGTGAACTTACAGCCATCTGACTACTGAGGTACCACGTTAAGAAGGCCAACATTCTATTGCAGCTACGGAGCTTTCGGATGCATTAAAAGGCAGCATTTTTGCCCCAATTAAAAGGAGAAATCCATCATTTCTCAATTCACATAGGAGAAATAGTACCATCTATAATTATATTGCAAAAGCATCAGACAAGGAAGGTAAAGCCCTCGTGGACCCACCACAAAAGGCAACAAAAAATCTGAAAATATCAAGGAATGATGAACAATACCTGTACTGATTTCTGACATTTAAATTATGAACATCATCCTCAAGTTCACACAGAAGCTTGCTATGAGTAAGACCATCAACGATGTCCTTATCTTGCAACTCCTTTAACAAGCCGATGGCATCTTTCACACTTTTTTGCCGGCAGACTTCATCAATTACTGTTCGGAAGGTGATGTGGTCAATTGTTCTTCGGTTTTCGTTCATCTCCCACAAGAATTTCACTGCCTCATCAACCTCTCCGCCAAGAGCCAAGGAGTTCACTAGCGAGTTGTACGATTTACTACTAGGTATGAATGCTTTGCACTGCATCTTATCATAAATTTCCTTAGCATTCTTCGTTCGTCCTTGCGCACATAACCCATGAATCAGATAATCATACGAAAATGAGTTGGGCTGGCATTGGTAAACCACGCCCATTTGGTGAAACACCCTAAGGGCATCGTTCACATGAAGTGAAAGCACGTATCCCTTTATCATGGTATTCAAGGAAAAGATATCCGGTTCAATCCCATTATCGACCATTTGCTTGAAGAGGGACCTTATAGTGTCCATATACATGTGATTTATATACGAATTATTCCTCCTACTAAGAAGAGCCGCGAAAAGGATATTATAAGTTTTAATCGACGGCCTACAATCCAATTTCCTACTATTTAACATATGCTTATATATCATCACTGCTCGAGTCAACTTCCTAGCTTCCGTGAAATAATAAATCATTGAATTGAAAAGCGCCTCGGACCCAATAGATGGAACGGCAAGCACTTGATTAACAATATGATCCATTTCTTCATACATTTTCGCTTCACCAAGCCGTTGTATGGCAACATGATACGTCGAAACATCATGCCTAAACCTGTGCTGTTTCGACGCCCAATTAAACAACTCCAAACACACTAAAGGATCATTTTGTGAAGTCATGACATCCCTCAGTTCTTCAGGGGTAAATCTAGGTGGAAGCTGAGTTACAGCCCTTTGAAATCGGGATTCATCAAGAACAGGCTTTGCTGCAGCTCTTGCTCTTCTGTTCATCCTCTTCCTCAAAGATCTTGAGGGAGGTCCTCTTAGCCATGTTGGTGAACTTGAACAATAGAAATTGACAAATTGGGTTTGAGGTAAAAGAGGTCTAGGATTTGATGGGTAGTAAATTTGAGGCCAACAACACAATTTTCTTGAACTGTAGCTAAAAAGGTAGGCATATAAATGATAATACAAAGTGTTCAAACAAGTAATTTTATTAAAGGTGGGATCTTTAATACAGAAAAGACTTAATTTTGAGCAGGAATGGGAAAAATGGTGCCTAAAAATAAATAGCATATTGGAAGTTATACTACCAAAGAAAAGGATGAATAACAGGAAAATAGATCAAGAAAATGCTTACTATGTAGAATTCCACTTCGCTCAAATTCTTGTTGACCCAACTCAATCTGGGTTTCAAGTTTTGGTCTTTTTGTAGTTCAAATAAGTTGTACGATAAAGAAGCAGTGAGCGGCCAAAGATGGTGATATGCTCACACAGCAGCAACGACAGGGTGGAAAGGGGAAAGGGCAGCAAAATTTGGGCACGAGTGTTTTATTTGTTAAGTAGGCAAATAAAGTCAATTAGTCCTAAAGTTATTTAACTCAAAATGAGTGAAGAATAAGTTTGTAACTTAACTCGTCTAACTCAAAATTACATTTTTGCTTTTGTGTAATTGAGATAATAAAGTTATAATCTTTTCATTCCAGTATTTTTGGCATCCTTTATTTATTTTTTTATTTTTTTTATTCTAAAATGGATATTTTTATATTAAAAATAATTGAATTGATATTCTTATTTTTATTTCGTTGATGTAACTTATTGTAGTCCTCCTAGATACAAATAAGTTACTTGGGACTAATGATACTGTTGGTATATATGCAGATTTAGCTAGCAAAGTCTTCGTCCCCGTCTTTCCTCGATTCAGCGAAGCCCCACGTCTCGATTACAGTCCAGGTTCTATCTTTCTTGCCTTTACCATTGATCTCGATATTTTATCTTACTTGTATTACTTTAACTGTAAAACGTCATTTATTTTACGTAGACCCTATTTAGCTATTAGTTAGGACTTGCCTGCCATAATTGTTTCCTTGATTATATTATTTACAATCTGTCTCTTGTCTTGCTTTAACTGTAGAAATCATTTTTAGTAGGCCCCCTTATTTAGCTATTAGTTAGGACTTGCCTGTCTAGATTACTTGTATTTTTCTTTAATTTTTGCTTCCCGAGCTATATTATAGTAATTTTGCTCATTCTCTCTGTGAGTCGGAGGTTATATTTCGACTATTCATTTTATTTTTGTCACTTGTTTTCGGGGTAGTGTTTGCGTAGCGTATACTAATTTATAATGACTTTGGTGAACGATAGTAAGGTAAGGTCTTGTCCTCCGGGGTGTCCTGACAGAGGAGGGGGTGCAGGGGTAAGAGGACTAATGGAGCCCCCAGGCTGAGACTGGGGTTTTGGAACGTAGGAACTTTGACTGGAAAGTTTATAGAGTTAGCGAGGATTCTCGAGAAAAGAAAGATCAGTATAGCTTGTATACAGGAGACTAGATGGGTAGAAGATAAGGTGCGAGATGTGAGCAAGTTCAAACTATGGTATTCTGGGAGGGCGAGGGACAGGAACGGGTTAGGTATCTTGGTTGATGAAGACCTTCATGATCTAGTGGTGGAGGTTAGGAGGGTGAACGACAAGCTGATGACTATTAAGCTAGTTGTTGGAGGATTTATTTTGAACATAATCAATGCGTACACACCCCAAGCAGGCTTGGACAAGGAAGTCAAAAGGCGTTTCTGGGAGAATTTAGATGAGATGGTGCGTGGTATTCCGTATACTGAGAAGCTTTTCATAGGAGGAGATTTCAATGGCCACATTGGAGCGACATATGGGGGGTATGCTGATGTGAATGTGGCTTCGTTTTTGGAGATAGGAACGGAGGAAGAACTTCTCTGTTGGACTTTGCTAGAGCCTTTGATTTGGTGATAGCAAACTCGAGTTTTTCGATGAAGGTGGAGTACTTGGTCACCTTCCGAAGTTCGGTGGCCGTGACTCAGATTGATTATCTTCTCTACAAGAAGTCCGATAGAGGTCTTTGCACATATGGCAAGGTCATCCCGAGTGAGAACCTCACGACACTTCATAGGCTCCTGGTCATGGACTTTGAGATCACAAGGAAGAGAAGGAAGAGGGCGGTGTATAACCAACCTAGGGTTAAGTGGGGAGCCTTGACGGAAGCCAAAGCACAGGAGTTGGGGACTAAGTTGATGACTAGGGGGCTTGGAGGAGTAGTGGGGACGCAACCGCAATGTGGACCACGACTGCACAGTGTATTAAAGAAGCCGCTAGAGAGGTTTTAGGGATCTTGAAGGGCTACTCTAGTGGTCATAGAGAAGATTGGTGGTGCAATGGAGAGGTACAAGGAAAAGTGGAGACCAAGAAAGAGGCATATCTGAAGCTAGTGGAAAGTGCAGACGGGGAGGAGAGAAGGATGAATAAGGAGCAATATAAGTTAGCTAAGAAGGAGGCAAAATTAGCAGTTACGGTGGCCAAGACTGCAGCTTTTGGTCGTTTGTATGAAGAACTCGAGGGCCGAGGTGGGGATAAGAGGTTGTTCAGGTTATCCAAGGTAAGAGAAAAGAAGGCCCGTGACTTGGACCAAGTGAAGTGCATCAAGGATAGAGGAGGTAGAGTTTTGTTGGATGAGGGACTTATCCGTCGGAGAAGCAGACCTACTTCCATAGTCTTTTGAACGAGGAGGGGGACAGGAACATTGTACTGGGTGATTTGGAATTCTCCGGGAGTCGTTGCGACTTTAGCTGTTGTAGGTGGATTAGAGTTGAGGAGGTTGAGAGGGTTATGCGCAAGATGAGCAGGGGCAGAGCGACCTGGAAGAGTGCGGGCAAGACGGGCTTGGAGTGGCCCACTAGGTTATTTAATGTCATTTTTAGAATGAAGAAGATGCCGAGGAGTGGAGGTGAAGCACAATGGTTCCTTTATACAAGAACAAGGGTGATATCCAAAATTACAATAACTGTCAAGGTATCAAGTTGCTTAGCCATACTATGAAGTCCAGGAGAAGGTGGTGGAGCTAAGAGTGAGGAGGAGTGTGTCTACTTCTGAGAATCAATTCGGGTTTATGCCGGGACGCTCGACTACAAAGGCTATTCACCTTGTTAGGAGTTTGATGGAGCAGTATAGGGAGAGGAAGAGGGACTTGCATATGGTGTTCATTGACTTAGAAATTGCATATGATAAAGTCCCAAGGGAGGTTTGTGAAGGTGTTTGGAGGCTAGAGGTGTACATGTTACCTACATTAGGGTGATTAAAGACATGTATGATGGAGCAAAGACCCGAGTGAGGACGATGGGAGGGGACTCAGACCATTTTCCGATTATGATGGGGTTGCACCAGGAGTCGGCACTCAGCCCTTTTTTGTTTGCCCTGACGATAGACGTTCTGACGCGCCACATCCAAGGGGAGGTGACATGGTGCATGTTATTTGCAGATGATATTATATTGATTGACGAGACGCGAGGCGGTGTGAACGCGAGGTTAGAGGTGTGGAGGCAGACCCTGGAGTCTAAAAGCTTCAAGCTGAGTAGGACCAAAACAGAATATTTGGAGTGTAAGTTCAGTGGTGAGACTCGGGGAGGGGAAGGGGAGGTGAGGCTGGATTCGCAAGTCATCCTTAGGAGATGTAGTTTTATGTACCGTGGGTCTATTATTCAGGGGGATGGGAGATTGATGAAAATATCACACATCGTAATGGGGCAGGATGGATGAACTGGAGACTCACTTCTGGTGTTTTGTGTGATAAGAAGGTGCCACCAATACTTAAAGGTAAGTTCTACAGAGTGGTGGTCAGACCGACTATGTTATATGGGGCTAAGTGTTGGCCTGTCAAGATTGTTCATATCCAGAAGATGAAGGTAGCAGAGATGAGGATGTTGAGATGGATGTGCAGGCACACCAGGCATTGAGGACAAGATGCGGGAAACGAGGATTAGGTGGTTTGGACATGTGAGGAGGAGGAGCACAGATGCCCGGTGAGGAGGTGTGAGAGGTTGACATTGGAAGGCCTACGGCGAGGCAGAGGTAGGCCGACAAAGAAGTGGGGAGAGGTGATTAGGCAAGACATGATGCAGCTTCAGTTGACCGAGGACATGACCCTTGATAGGAAGTTGTGGAGGTTGAGGATTAGAGTAGTCGGGTAGGTGGTAGATTATTCATACCAATAGGATTAGTACGTACTCTTGCATTCTGTTGGTAGTAGATTTCTATGAATACCCGTCATTTTCTTTCATTTTGATCATCTTATTATCGTGTCGTTTCTATGCTACTTTTACATGGCTTTTTGGTGTTGTCCCTCATTGTCTATCTTTTAATTAATGTGGTGCTTATGTTTTTCTGAGCCGAGGATCTATTGGAAACAACCTCTTTACCTTCACAAAGGTAGGGGTAAGGTCTGCGTACCCACTACCCTCCCCAGACCCCAGGATGTGGGATAATACTGGGTATGTTGTTGTTGTTTTTAGCTAGCAAAGTCTTCTAATACTTTTTTCAACAATTATTTTCTGTCAAAAACCGTCAAATGAATTAAAATATAGAACCTTGTTTTTAGTCAAGTAGTAAATTTCAAACAATAGACTTTTGAAGAAAAACCAAATTGAAGCAAGAATCTGACATGGATACTCATTTTATTGCATGACACAAAAATTTTGAACAGGCTGCTCGCATCTCTCTATGCAATTTTGTTGTCACAAGTCACAACTCACAATTGACACTCTAAAAGCACTACTTAAAAAAATGAAACTTTCTTTTTATTTTGATTCCCAGAGGATCTAAATGTTGTTGAAATATTTAGAAAAGCTCTTTTCTTTTCTTTTTGCATATTAAAGTTAATAATTGAAAAGTGAAAACTGGTAGAAAAAGGTAATGGATGTTAAAAGTTTTCAAAAAGATGGGGAGGGGATGTAACGTGTAAAATTCCGTAAATTTGTACATCTCATCTATCTTATTTTCCTACAACATGGCATGTTTTGATCAAAACTTGTTTAGTCAGTATTTATCACGAGATGTTCTGACTGACCTTTCCCCTCAAATTAGATTGATTGCTAATCATTAGGATTAAGGGTTCGTAACATCAAAATCATCATCATCATAATCATCGTCGTGATCATCCATCATCATCATTATTGTTACAATGATTTGATCCAATCAGATATTACAAGGGCTATATTAGTTTGGAGTTGAGCGATAAAAAAGTATATACTATCTTCAACAATTAATTTCTATAAATCAGGTTGCTTATGAGATAATTACAAGCAAAACTTGTACAATAAATATTACATGGTAACAAGATAGTAACCAACATGCTCATCAGATTGAATCAGAGGGGATTTCTTGTGTTCAAACAAACTGGGAATGCGTGAACAAACGATGAAGTGCACAAGAATATTGTGATATCTGATTTGTTGTTTAAAATAAATAAATAAAAAACTGGCAAGCACAAATGTGTACCAACACATTTATTCTACCCGCCCTTCATTTA